GACACAAAGGAAAAAAAAATGGGAAGACATAAACTAGGAAAGACCATAAATCTGCTACTGCATATTGAGGTCATATGACAGCTTGGGGTAAGGTCCAACAGTAAAAGGGCTTGAATGTTGTTTCCCAATTTAGTCCACCTATATAGGTAAGTAATTAAAAGCATTTAAGCAAAATGATTGATTAGGAATCATTCCATATGCAGCCTTTAATTACAACAGACTTACCGACATAAATGAGGACAAATTTGCAACGAAGCTTGCTGATATTTGCTGAGATTGTGACTCATAAATGCCTATATATTTGCTGATAATTTGCTAAGGAGAATATTGGCAGTATACTAATGGATTTGGTTTAATAATCAAACACTCATGCAATAAGATAAACTCTTATTAAGGGTTGTTGTGCTAGTTCCTTATCTAAAAGGTACACAGGAAGTTGATGTGCTTCAAATATTATAAAAGGAGCTAATGACTTCGAGTTTTATTAATCTCAATTGAAACAGTTCAAAGTCTAGTGTACTAACTTTGGTTGTGTGGGTTGTATAAAGCTTTGAGAGTTTTTTTTTTAAATTTTTATAATTGGGGTCGGGGAGAAAATGTATAATGAGTGTAATATTTTTAACATTGTGGAATTTTCTCTGGTGGGTCGTGGTTCTTTCTCTAGTTTGGAGTTTTCCAGGCAAATTTATGTGTTTCCTTCTTGTTTTTCAATTTCTCAATTATTTTATGTTTATTCTCGAAGGCAAGAAGTGTGTTTTTATTTTTTTTCCCAACACATAAAACGCCCATTTTCCCAACGAGATTCTTATGGTGCCACGACATCCGTACAACGTATTTCTATGAACTTCTTTTGAGGGGCTTAAAAAAAGGGAAAAGAAAAGAAAAGAAAAAACTATGTGAATTGAGAAGGCTCTTACACATGAAACATATGAGAGAGGGAAAAAATATTTTGGGGGAGCCAATTGACAAATAAGACCCTAAAAAGAGCAAGGCGTGACAGCCAAGAGATATGGAAAAAGTGATTGAAAAAAAGAAAAGTTGAGATAAAAACAACTCATCATGGGCAGTTCCCATTGGCTGACATATCAAGGCCCTTGGAAATTAAATGGGTCGCACATGAAAATGGATTATTAATTAATTATTTATTTATTTATGCCCTTCTAAAAGCCTTCCTCGAGAATATAATAATTTTAGTTTCATAGGTCAAGTTGTAATTAATAATATTGCTAAATAAAAAAGTTCGTAATAATAAGGGAAAATTAAGAATTCAATGCTACATGATTTGATTATTGGTTCTTGTACAACTTTATATTATGCTTGAGTTTTTAAATGAGAACAAAAAATGTAGCTGTGTCACTCTTGTTCCAACTTATGTCTATTGGTTGATCCATAGAATGTCTATTAAAGTGGTTAGAAAATAGTGGAGGCCATAAGTTGATGGTTTGTTAGTTGATTAATATTAGTTAATATAAGGTTGTTAATTAATTATCCCTAATCAATAGACTACTTTGGTATAACTATATTAAAATATGAGAATTGGTGTCCTTGGGATAGCACAGTGGTAAGAATATGGACCTTGTGGTATCAGGTATCATGAAGAAGCAACGAGCCTCGGTTACATGGATCCATTAGCTTAAAAAAAAATTATGAGGTTTGTAATGTGGAGATATGAGGGAGAATTTCCTATCATTTGGTTTGTGAACTAAGGCTTTAAATGTCGATCTCAATGGAAATGTCGAGATCTTAATTTTGTGGTAATATGATAAAAATATTAATAAAAATAATGTCAACAAAAATTTAGTAAACAAATAAGCATTTTGTACTTTTTAAATAAATTAGAAATAAAAAATTACTAATATCAATATTACGTGTATATTAGTGATATTACGTTGATTTTTATATTTTGTCAATTTTTTTTTGCAATACTATGAAAATATCGATTCACTCGTCATCTGATGTGAACTTGTATAAGGCGTTCAAGCTCTATATTGAGCGGGCTCTTAGATTATATAGTATTTTATAGGGTCAAAGATCAATTTTAACACTGAACTTGACAAATGTATTAATTTTTATCTTAAACTTTTAATTTCATCAAATTACAACTTAAACTTAAATAACTGTCGCAATCGATTACTTTAAACTTTAAAAAGTGCATGCGGTAATTTTTATACTTTAATAGATTTTCATTTGAAAATTTGTTGGAAAAACTATTCTTTATAAATGTCCAATATAAAACATATATATTTGGTAAGTTTGTAAGTTTTGTTAGAGAGTTATTTAAGGGTCACTTTTGTGCATTAATCAAAAAAAGATATATACTTACTTTGCAAAACTTGATTTTCATTAAGTTAGTAAATTTTTAGAGTTTTTTTTACATTTTTTTTTCCGTAAAAGTTAATGAATGAATGAGCGAAAACCGAACAAAGGTACAACTTGCAACACTTATCCAATTAGATGAAATTGAAGGTTCAAGGTGGTGAAAATTAATACAACATTTCGAGTTTAGGGTAAAAATGATTTTTTACCTATTTTCTTGTAGCTAGTGATAAGGAAGCCTATTTCATTCCTAAGCATGTATTGTTGTTGTTATTATTTGAGTTCAACGACCGTAAATGAGATTGATCCAACCTGGATATAAATCTAATTCTAGTTGAACTATGTTCAAGTTGGCACCATGTATATTATTATTAATTCTTGTTTTTATGAGAATTCTTCCTAATAGCTAAGGGGTCGTTTGCTAACGTTTTGTTGTTTTACATTTCGTATTTCTTTTTCCAATTTTTTGAGAAATATAAGTGTTTGGGAATTGTTCTTGTTTCTCATTTCTAATACTTAAGAATCGTTCCCAAATTGGATACAAATTTTGGAAACAACAAAACTAGTCTCTTGTAATTGTTCAACTATATATGTTGGAAGGCTGAAAACGCCAACTATGAGGGTTGAGCTCCCCTCGAGGAAATAGCTCAAGTCGAGCTAACAGGTCGAGAAAAAGGCCTTTGGCACCTGTACGAGTCTTGTAGCCGAGCTGTTGTGTGTAGCAAACTTGGCCCCAGTATACGGCCAACAATGAATGGGAGATCACCCACCCACCATACAGTATAATGTATTGCTGGGACGGACAACCACCCATTTCACCTCTATAAATACATTACACCCCACTCAATTAGGTATGAAATCATGTCTAGCTCGCACCTAGAATTGATTTGAGTGTCATAGTGCTTGAGCACGTCTCCAATGATCAACTCGCCCGCAACAACTCACTTGCTCTCTTCAAGTCGCTCTGTGAAATTTGGGCAGATTTTGGTAGAAAAAAATAATTATAAAAAAAACATATACAAAAAAATATAGGAGGTAGTTAGATATGAATTGAAATATATATATAACTATTTTTTTCTTTTTATTTTAACAATATGTGAGATTGGTGACGACTTTTTGTATTGTATTTATGTTGGCAATAAAAAACTAATTTTCTAAAGAAAACAATTTCCAATACTACACTTTTTTAATACAATATATGAGATGTAAATTTAAACTCACGACCTTTTAATTGGAGATAATTGGAGATAAGTAATTAATTAACTAGTTGAACTATAATCAAGTTAAATAAATAGGAACTACATATTGATTAAGTACGGTATTGATTAATGGTAAGCTCTGACATATATTTGTGTTCACACCTTTTCCATATTTGTAAATTTTTATTTTCTATTTTTGTAATATTTATATTTAAATTATGCTAGATTTGTAGTTATTTTCAAAAATAATTACATTGTTTAAGTGGGTCAACGTTGATATATTATATCAAAAATTCATAAGGGCCCTATTTAATTCCAATACAAAAATCCCTTTGCCGAAGATGAGAAGGAATAAATCTACCAATAATTAAATTCTCCTCTTTTTATGATATGCTTTCGTTTACACAAACATTTATTCATAAGGGGTGTGACAAATAAACTTGATAATATTAGGTTGATAAAATTGCATAAGTTTTTAGTGATGTTTATAGTTTATATACTAATTTAGTCTCAATTTGGTCCTTAAAATTCTTACAAATTTTTTTTTTTCTGGATCAAAGTTTCTTAAATATCTCTATTAAAATACATGCTTTTTTTTTTAAGAAAATATCATATGCTTGTTTATTTATTCTTTCTACTTCAAAAGAGTAACAAAAATCGAAGAATAGTTATCGAGAAATCAGTTCTAGCTTACATCTAGATCTACCCTAATTTTCTTATCTTTTTCAACTAAATAATGTCTTAAAACTTGATCTAAACCATATTTTTCAACTACTTGAGATGAAAACAACTATTAGATATGTAATATATAAATTAAATTTATCCAACACATCAACATTAAAAGATTGTATAGAAACCAAATAGGTTAAAAAAAATGCATTTTAATTGTATTAAGAAGGTATATTAATTGGTAAATAATATGCAAATTTTGTAGTGGCATCGTCTAGGTATACATTTTCAAAAGTTCGACATCACTGATGGAGGAAAATATCTTGTTTGTTTAGAAAAAAAAATTGTAGAAATATTAAACCAAATATAAAAGAAAAATATTTGGTTACTCAATAATGAAGAAGAATATTGTCCACCCTAAAATATTTCGTACCGAAAAATACATAGAAATTACTAATTCATAAGGTAGGTGGTCACAATACGCCACCTATCATGGTTGATACTTATTGGAGACGTTGTACCGAGAGAATAAATAATAATGTATAATGATAGAAGAATAAATTGATGGGAAGATGGGTTTGGCCGATGTGATATTAAAAAAAAAAAAAAGAAAGGAATTTGAGTGATTGGATTTGTCGTGGGAGAGAGAAGAGAAAGAAATGAAAAAGAAAGTATAAGACTTTATAATATAATAAAAACATAGTGATGGATAAAGGTAAGTTATTAGGTAATAAATTAAATTACCGACCAAAAAAATATATTCCCTCTGGTGCTGGAAGAAGAAGTATAAAATGGTTTTGAAGTGCCATTGGAGTGGTTTTCATTAAGGCATTTTGAAGGTTGAGAGAGAAGGCAGAAAGAGAGAAGCCATTGGCAGCGGCCTGAAGCTAGTTCAAACTAGTGGAAGGTTGTGTGGAAAATGGCTCGTGGGAAGGTTCAGATGAAGAGGATTGAGAACCCTGTGCACAGGCAGGTTACCTTCTGCAAGCGCCGCGCTGGGCTCCTTAAGAAGGCCAAGGAGCTCTCTGTGCTGTGCGATGCTGAAATTGGTCTTTTCATTTTCTCCGCCCATGGAAAGCTCTATGAACTCGCCACTAAAGGGTCTCTCTCTCTCTCTACCTTCTTTTTTTACTTCCTCTCTCTTTGCATATATTCTAGATATCAATTTTCCCCGGATGGGGTTCCGAATCTTCGACCTTTAGAGAGATGAGTAACGTATAACCCCGATGGACAGCGAGAGGCTAACCTTGTTAGGTCAGATCTTTTCGATGTGAGGGATCGGTGTGCCTGTTTTGGGCTCACCAATCTTGGTCAGATTCTTTTTTTGGAATGGATGCTCGTTTGAGTTTGGTTGGGCTCTAATATCATTTTAATATCTATGAGATTTCATCTCAAAACCAATATATCAATAATGAGAAACGAAGTAGTCCATTCATATTATAAATCATTATTACATCATTCATCTTTTTAATGTGGGATCCTTAACTATGTGTCCATTTATGGTTGTTTCTAGTTAGTTTTGTTAGTTTAATGTTGTAATTAACGTGTAATTATCTGGTACATTTTGGCAACAAGGGGCAAACTTAAGCATGCTAGTATAGATTAAGGGTGTGTTTGAGAGTGATTTTGAAAAAAGAGATCTAAGAATAATTGATTTTCCAAAATCACCGCCCAAGTGATACCTTAAAATTTGATTTTAAGTGATTTTATGTTTTCCTAAATCAATTTTTAATTTGTCAAACATGATCAATGGAAATGAGAGTGATTTTGGCAATGTTATTGTCCTGTCAAAATCATTTCCAAACACACCCGAGTGATAGAAACTTCTTCTAGCCCTCCAATTCGATTATTGTTCTCTAGTATTGAGTCTACTTGACACAATTCATTTTATCACTCATTGTCATGTTTATGTTAGGAAATAGCTAGCTCATTAACACACTTAACTTGTCATGTTAAGCATTAAACTAACCGAGTTGATATAGTAACAATTTATTGGAAATAAAATTGAACCATCAAACTTTATACTATACATGTATTTTTTGAATATTTAGTTTAATTTTATCTTTGGCATCAATGTTTTGGAGGATAGAACCATGCAAGGGCTTATTGAAAGGTACATGAACCACACCAGTAGGACTCAGCCACCGGACCCATCCATTGAAAACCAAACCCTGGTACTCTCTCTCTCTCGAGTTATAAAAATGTTATTTTTTTGTTTGGTAATTATTTAGGATCAGTACGGAGATTTTAACTAGCCGTACGGGTAGATATGTGCCAATGCCAATTATCATTGAACTACACTTATTTTAGCTATTTAAAAATTAGTTTTGCTAAGAACAAACTAATATTCCACAGTGTAAATCACGCAATATCGATTCCACAATATATATATATATTAAGCATAAAATAAAAATTTCTCCATTATAATTCTGAAAAAACAATATGTTTTGAAATAAAGGACACAAAGAAAAGCATCTCCTAAAACAGGTTTATAGTTTATTTATTAAGTAGATATTTTTAGAAGTGAGAGACTGCATCTGATGCTGGTTCTATATGTATTCTCAAGATCCTCATTGATGTGAATTCAGGCCATTGGAATTAAAAAGGGAGAGATTTTTCCTCAGATTTTACCCTCCTACAACATAGATAAAAGTAGTTATCATAGAAGATAAAAAATTAGAGCTTTAGGATCCGTTTGGTTACGTTTTTGTTTTTTATTTTTTCTTTTCTAATAAATAAAACATAACCATGTTTAGTAACGGTTTCTTGTTTCTTTTTTCTTCTTTTTTTTTCATTGAAAAAACGAAATAGAAATATGTTTAGTAAGCATTGTATTTCTCCTTTTCTAAAATTTTTTAAATTAAAAGAGTAATTTTTTGTGTAAAATTAATTTTTATGTTATATTTATTTTTTTTTAATATTTATTATGTATTTTATGAGTTATAAATGATAAAATAATATATACTTTAATTTATGTCTTGGAAAAAACTGAAAACAAGAACCATAAACAAAATATTTCGTTGTTTCTAAAAGTCTTTACATAATTTTGAAATCATTTATTAAAAATAAAAAATAAAAAATAAAAACCCTTACTAAATGATCATGTTTCTCAAAAATTGGAAACAACAAAAAATAAATAAGAAACAATAACCTTACTAATGAACTCTTAATTATTTGAATCCTACCTTGATTTAGTTAATTAATGAAAAGGTTTTAAAATGATCTTTGATTATTAGCAAAATATATAGTTTTGTTTTTTTTTTGGATAAAGATATATTTTTTGTTCTCTATTTAATCTCTATTGAAGTTTTAATTTTCTTATTTAAATATTATTTTATACTAGAATGAGTTTGAAATTGATACTTTAAAAATGCTTTTGAGAGACACCTTTCTTTAAAAATAATAATAATAAATAAAACCTTTTGAGAGAACCACTAATTAAGTGGTTATTTTTAAAATGCTTTAAGTGGTTTTAAATCTATAAAATCAATTTCGAGAATATAACCAAACCCCACGAAGAATTTGAAAAGTGATTGATATTAGCTTAAAATATTTGTACATATTTCTAAAGTCATAGCCAACACACCCGCTATCAGCATAAAAAAAATAAATAATAATAAACCATGTGAAAATTTAATAATTAGACAGCTTTTTTTGGACATATTTCTTAATTTTCTAAGTAAACATACCCTTGCTTATTAAAATAAAATATGGGGTACTTTCAGTTTATTTAATAAACATATATTTTAATATTAATCATTGCGAGAAAATTAAAACTCTGAAAAAAAAAATCAATATAGCTGAAATTTAAAAAATAATACAAATATTTACAATAAAATGCTATCTTAGAAAAAAGTTAATTATGTGAACGTCGTCCTAATACTTGCACAGTTGGATACTAGGCATCTCAAAGGAATATAATTTATTTGTTAAGAAGTGAATAAGTTGTAACACATGAATAAATTATTACAATATATGTTATTAATTGCAAGTACAACAGTTACAATTATTTTAATGCAAAAAATAAATTATTTAAGTGAAATTGATCACATTTTATTACAAAATATTGGGTGTTTTTGTAGTTCCACTTAGTAGCTTTTCTTTTCTTTTCTTTTAAAAGCAAAGAATAGTTCTCTGATGCCTTCATAAAAAATAAAAAACAAAAAAAAAAATTGTTTTCTATTTCTTACTATGAAATATGATATTTGTTCATTAATGTTTTTAATGTACTTTGTTGATTTTTTTTTTTCAAGTTTGGAAAAGATTGACTATAAAAAATATGTTGGGACAATTTTTTTGTTAATCTTATTCTTAGCCTAATTAGTTTATTGTAAACTTAAAATTATTTTCAATTGCATCGATTTGTATCTCATACTTGAATAAGTGAAATTAAAATCAACTAATGAGAAGTATTAACTTTCCTTTGGTTTAATTAGAGTGTTGTCTGCCTGTCTTCCTTTTGTATGTTTCTCACATATCTATTTACCCATATCTTTTCAAGAAAAAAAAAAACGAGAGATATTAATTTATGACTTAATGATGTTTAGGGTTCAATTCAATACAATAAAGACTTTAAACTTAAATTTGATTCAACCATTTGGAAATACAAGTATCAAATGAGTTATTTATAATTTATTTTTTTAAACTTCATAATAGAGCTAAAATTTCAGATTCTGAAAACCAAAATAAAGAGAGGCAAACTTAATTTCTAATTAATATAATTTTTGTTATGTATTTTGATTCTTCATTAAAGTTTTATTATATATATGCGTATCTAGGAAATAAAGGAGGAGGTCAACAGGCTGAAACAAGAAATTGAAGTCCAAAAGGGTCTCAGGTATCACCCATTTTATTAATATTATCCATTTTATGAATTCATATCAATTTTATTTTTGGATATTGATCAGAATATTTTGTTCTAATATATGTTGTCCATATTTAAAAAAAAAATACTTTCATTGAAATAACGACTCAGTTATTGAACTTTTGTTCGTAACGATTTAGTCATAGTACTCTCAATTTGATAACAATTTAGTCTCTCGATTTTGGTATCTAATAATTTAGTCTCTATATTTAAAATTTGTAACAAATTAGTCCATATGGTAAAAAATCTCGTCAAATTTTAACCGTTGATTTTTATTATGTAACGAATTAGTCTTTGTAATTTATGAACATGTTTGGTCTAATCATTAGTTTATCGTCCTACATGTATAGAAATCCTATTAAATCTTTTCACTAGAGAGACTAAATTGTTACCAACTTTAAATTACAAGAACTAAATGGTTACATATCAAACTTGTGACAAAATTGTTACCAATTTGAAAGTACAAGAACTAAATAGTTAGAAATTAAATTTTAGAAACTAAATTATTACTCGAGTGAAACTACAAGAACCAAAAATATTTTCAAACCTTCGTATTTTTTTATACTTAGGGACTGAAATTTTTAGGATTGGACATTTATTTTAAAACATAACTGTGTATTTGTTGACAATAGATTACACAACGACTCTAATCTTTATACTTGAACCCTAAAAGCATTATTACATGTGTGGAAGTTAAAAAAAAAAAGTGGAAAACAAATTATATAAATTTTATTGGGAAGGCCTCTCCCAAAACTATTTAAATTTTTTAACTTAGGAAATACAAAGTTTTTTTTTTCTTTTAATATATGTAAGTTTATAATAAATTTTAGGTTTCAATATATTTTCAAATTTGGTTCACTTTGATTTTTTAGTTTCAATACGTTCATTTTGATCCATATATTAAACTTTTGTTGATTTTGATATTTATACTTTCATAAAATCATTTATTTTGGTCTCTAAATTTTTCAAAATTGGCCATTTTTATCACATTTATTTCGATTAATATTTTAGCATGACACACTTCACTCACCATTTTTTTTAAAATGTCGCCATAAAAATTTATATTAAAGAGTTTACATTGTGTGTTAAAAATTTTTCAAATAAACAAAAATATTACTTTTTAAGAGATCAAAATGGATGTTACGATAGTTCAAAGACTAAAATGAACAAAGTTGAATTATACATGTATAAATATTTCGAAAATATATGGACCAAAATAAATCTAAACCCAAAAATAGAAAGGAGTATTTAAACCTAAATTTGAATGCAATGCCTAGCTCACATATTAGAATTGATCCCCGTTGTTGTTACCATTGTTCTACAATCTCACTTACATATAACAACAAATGTTAAACATCATTAAATTTCTAATAAACTCAAAAGCTTAATTTTGTTCATTATGGTAAATTTAATCATTTATAGGATATATAACGACAAATAAGGCAATATTTTTCAGTCTCAAAGGTGAGAATTTATTTATTAATTTATTATTATTATTATTATTATTTTTAAATGTATATATAGGAACGCATTTGGAGGAGGAGCTGAAGGAATGACATTGGATGAGCTTGATATGTTTGAGAAGCAACTTGAGATTTGGATTTGTCAAGTGCGTTCTACAAAGGTATATATATAATTTCATACAATTTGTGCTCTCTTTTGTTCTATCTCTATGAAAATTTTGAGATTAATGTGTTTCTATGGTCACTGAAATTAATTAGTTTCAATTAATTGACCTTGTCAATATGTAGATGAAGTTCATGTGTCAAGAGATTGAAGCATTGAAAAACCAGGTTAGTAATTTCTGCTTAATTTACTTTCAACGTTGGTTAAAATCTTTATTTTTGGCCATACGATTTTGATTGACTCTATCTCGCCATTTTTGTGGTAGTAAGTTGGACCATCCAATTAGATATAAATCGTAGTGGTATTAACTTTGTAGAACTTAAAGCTCATTTGATAAAGTTTTCATTTTTGGTTTCTAGTTTCGTGTTCCCTAAGTTTTAAGAAACACGAGCATTTGTTTTGTTTTCATTTTTTTTCTTAAACTTAGGTAAAAATATTATTTTTCTATCAGTTTTTACTGATAAAATGCATAATAAATATGAAAATCAAATATAAATAAAACAATTAATATTTAATTTCAAAAATTTTTAATTTAAAATGTTAGAGAACATCAATAAAAGAAAGAACAAGAAGAATAAATAATTATCAATCACAATTATATTTTTTTTCCATAGAAAAAGGAAAGATAAAAGAGAAAAAAGATACTATGAATAAGAAATAAGAAACAACATAAATGTTATTAAACCGGCGGCCCTTAGTAACTTGTGGTCATAAATTTTCAAGGCTCCACGGGTTTCAACTTTGTGTTCTTTTTTTTTTTATTTGTTCTCTACCTTATATAAACATTCTCCAAACTGTAAGCTAACTTAAAAAATAAAAAATAAATAAAATGTTTAAGAAACAGCTCTTTATTTTTCAAATTTGGCTAAGAGTTCAAGTATTTAATCATGGACAGTGAAAAATGTAACAAAAAAAAAAAAACAGAGAGAGAGGGAGAGTTCAAAGTACATTTGAGTTTTCATCTTTAATTATTGTGCTTGAATAATAATATTAATCAAATAATGTATATTTTATTTTTCTGTTTGAAAGGATTTAATGCTGAAAGCTGTCAATAAGTATCTTCATGATAAGGTAATTAGAAGATCAATCTACATTCCAATATCATTTCTATAAAACATTATATTTCTTTTAATCCATAATTCTTAATATAGACATTTTATTCTAGACAATAATAATAAAAATATCATTATGGGTTTGAAAATATATATTAATTCTCTCTCCTTTCAATCGTGGTTTTGCAGATGGAGGAAAACATTGGCTACACTACTAACATTGAAGCTGTGAATAATAATACTAACTTTCAATATCCACTAACTATACAGGATGAGTTATTTCAGCTTTGCACTTGAATTAGAAGCTAGAAAAAGCATATGTTATATATTTATATCTATGTTTCAATTAAGAAACCTAGCTAGCTATTTACATTGTAAGGTTGAGGGTGCTGTTCTGATATTTTAGCGGACTTTAATGATGTTCTAATAATGACAATATGTACACATTGCTAATTGCATTGTCCTTATATGTGTAAGGCAATGGATTAGTGTTATCATTGTGAAATTGTTACTCTTTTCAGTAATAAAACTACTGTTGTTGTGTGGGTTTAATAATTTTGGTTTGTAATAATAATATTATGGTTATTGTGAATGCAAGCATTGTCCTATATTGACTAGCGGGAAAGATCTTAATAATATTATATAGGAAAACATTTGCATCATAATGAAGAAACTTTTTTATTTATAATTGTTTATGCAAAGGATTGCACAACGCTGTTTTACGAACCAAGCTCGAACCCGGTCCCCTGATCGACCTGAACTTAAGAGTGAACCTGTACAAGAGGGTAAACTCTCCGACGCTCAAGTCAGTGTAGGTCGGACACAATATAAAGTTCGAGATGAGATTGGATCCCTGAGCGTGAAATGAGGCCCTCTATTTATAGGTGGTGGGTCCGACAGTACTCACGACCGGCGGTTACTTTTGTCCTTTTTCATGTCGAACCTATCGTGTTTGAGCAGATCGAACCCGTCCAGGTCGAACCGGGGCTTTTTACACTTAGCCCCATGATGGGTGAACCCAGTCTCCTCGGCAGGTTCGAGGTGGACCTGGTGGTACTTTATTCCCGAAACACCAATGAACGTCCTCCACGTGTCCCAAGTATTTTTACCCCCAAACAATAATTGTTACAAAAGGGAGCCAAAGCACAAAAGAGATCAGCATTGTAGCAGGCCACGGGCGAAGGACAATGCCACAACCGCTGTAGCAAAGGTGAAAAAAAGGTAGTATAGGTACTTTGTATCATCTTGGCGCTAGGGACGACGTTGTGGCATGCACTACGACTATAAAATATATTCGTCTTTTTTTTTCTGCTAGCTTTCTTTGCAGAATAAATGGGGATTGACATCTGCCCGAGAGAAAGAAGAGGAGAAAGATGTAGTGAACAGTTTAGCAAGGTGCTCAAAGTTGCCAAAGCGAGCATAGGTCAATGGTAATATTTATAACTTTAAAAATCTAAAAAAAAATAATTTATAATTTAACAAAAATCAAAATTTTCAAATTAAGTTTGATTAATGCACAAAATCTAATGTTAAATAATTCTGTCAAAACTTTCAAATTTTGTATCAACTCTATGTTGATTTTGTCTAAATTCTATCGATTATTTTCATACCAAATATATATATTTCTAATTCATTTGGCACATAGAAATTATTTTTTCAACAAACTTTCAAATAAAAATTAATCAAATAGTAAAGTTTGTGAGTACATATTTTAAAGTTGAGAAAATTACAATATTATCCAATTGTGATGTGAAAATTAATACACAAATCGCCCAGTTTAAGTACAAAATTGATATTTTTCTATTATCTTTATATGTGCATCCCCTAACTTATAATCGCCAACCGTTGAAGGTTAGATCTAAACCCAACAAAAATTAAGTATTATTCTTACAGCTGCGGCGACGTGAAGATTGGATCTAAACCGAATAAAAAAATATATTGCTGAAAGTAAACGCTTAAAGATTTGATTTAAATATTCATATATAAATTTGTTTCATTAGTTTATTACGGTTTTTATTTATATTTTTTTTCACTGATTGTCGCTTGCATATATATATATATATATATATATTTTCTTCCTATTCTTACACATTTTAGAATCTTTCCTCCTGTTTTTAATAAATCATAATCTAATACATATTTATATTTAAAAGTTATTAAATTATTTAGGATATATAACAATTTTATTTTTTCGTTTTCTTGTTTTTTTAAAATTAAGCTTACAAACACTATCTCCAAAGAGAGGATCAAGAAATCCATATTTAATAAACTTATTTCCTGTACCCGCCAAATCTAGACTTAATAATTTCAATCATACGCTTGACTTAATAAATCATGACAAAACACCTCGACAGAGACGAGTCAAGTTGTGCCCCCAACTTTTCATTTCCATCACCATCAATCCCAATTCATTGGATCCAAAATGGGAACTTCCCATCCATAATTCTACATTACTTCCCACCATCTTCTTAGGCTCAATAGGTCTGATGCAGAGCCAGACTAGTTTTAAATATTACCTTGGGACAGCTAACAAAACTAAAACCGCAGATGAAACGAGCAATCACAAGAACAATGAGGAACACAACCACAAGAATTGCCAAACAACTCAAAACAATCGACGCAAATTTCTTCATCTTCATTCTCCAGCACTTGTCATACCATTCATTGATCTCCTCCACCATCGCCCCCAGTCCCATATCATAATTCATCTTGGCTTCGCGAACGAACTCACTTCCACTTCCACCACTCCCAACATGGATTTTCAACACGCCCTGTTTCTTCAAGCCGCTGCTGGATTTCTCCACGCCACTAAACATCTCCACGGCTTCCTTTACACTCTCCAAATGGTTGCCAAAGATCTCTGCTTTCTCAAGAATCTTCAAGTCTTTGGAATTTCTCAGCAACCCACTCATGAGCAAAACGTAATTGGCCAAACAAGGCGGATTCAGCTCCGCCATGGCTTCATATGCTACAAGATTCTTAAGCAATGCTCCAGAGAACCCATCAAGATGAATACAAGGCAGAGTTAAAGTGAGCGTTGTCTCGTCAAAACGGCACTTTAGAATCCCATCTTTGGTGGATTTGAAACTCAATCCAGCAGTTTTTAACTCTGATGCACAAGGGACTAGAGGGATTTTTTTCTCAGCCAAATTTGGGTTCGTTATGGATCCCAAAAGTCCAACCAATCGTTGTATTAAACTAAAGGTCTCTTTCAGTTGCTGAAGGAAGGCTATGTTAATAACAGAGCCCAAAATGTTGAGGCACTCATTGAGAAAGTAAGCAGGAGATAGGAAAGTGAAAGTAGAGAAACAATTAAAATAAACACCCGTATACTCCTCTTCGCAAGAATCGGGACGCATTAAATTTTCCACGGCCTTCTTTTCGGGAGTAAGCAAAATCAGCAAATACAGAAAATGCAGCAAATGGTGAGACAGATTGTAGATTGGGGAAAATTCATAACGTTCCGTTTCAGGGTCGAACTCGGGAAGCTGAAATGGAGAAACAGAGGCATAAAATTGGAAAAATAGAGGAGCCAAATAATCAATGGGTTGTTTGTGGCAAATTTCTTGAAGGACAAACAGAGGAATCTGATTCTCAAGTTTCAGCATATCACTGACAATTTCAAACTCAGACGCTAATTTCCCGTAAAATATTTCTAGAGGGAGCTCGAGAGGACGAGGATTGTACCTAATTTGAAGAAGTTCAAGCAGAAATAAACCATCAATCAGCATCACCCATGATAAGGTTTCGGCATCCATTTCAAGGGGTTGATCGAAACTGGCTCGGATTTTGAGGTCCAATGGCTTGATCTGATCTAGGAGATGATGGAGCTGAGGGCCCCATTTCTGATTCTTGACTTTGCCCAGTTTGAAGAGGTCCATTTTGAAGAGCTCCGGCCGGAAATGGTGGTACGGCCCCACCGCGACACGGCGGGGGAGGAACGCCTCTGGGTCGCCGTCGCAGACGGAAGCCGGCAACTGGAAGACGGTAATGGGGGTCTGTGAAGCGGCGTCGAGGGTATTTCTGTCAATGAACTCATTGATTTGAACAACCCACTGAGATTTCTCGAGGGCTCCGGCGAGAATGGAAGCCATCTTGATTTTGAGTGAAACACATCCACAAGATTACACACTCTGTTTTTATATATTCGCATGCAATTTGAATTATGCCTTTTCTGGATTCAGTGAACAATGTTTCTTCAGGTTTGTTTTTTGAAAAGTCTTTTTTTTCTTTTTTTTTTTTTATTCTCATTGAATCAGAGGAACTTATGAAATTAATTAGGGTGGTTTGGTTGATAATGATATAAATAGTTACCAAGTAAATATTTAATTTAATCTAAATTTATATTAATTAATTTATTAATTTTGTATAATTAAATACAAGATTATACAATTTAGAATATATTATATTTTACCTATTTTAATTTTAACAAACACAAAATGAATTTATAATATGAATTAATATATTTATCAAAGTTTTTATTTATTTATTTATTTCATGTAATTCTGTATCTTAAAATTTCAAAATTCTGAATTCGAAAATACTGAAAACATAAATAAAGAAATTTTCAGAATTTCTACTGTTGGATCACAGAATAATAGTTTTAAAAAATGAATTTATCTGATCTTGCCAAATGTATTCACTGAATTAACATGAAAATAAAAAAGAGAATTTGAATTTCCAACCAAACAGACCTTTATATTTTCACTAAATTCAAATTGAATTTGGACTATTATTTCATGTTTAGTACATACGCAACCACCTAAGTATAGATTTAGTCTCAATGGTCTCCGGGTGGAACTTCAATTTAAAAATATCAAATATATATTTGTAATAATAAACAAACATTTAAATTTCAAATTTTCTGTGTCCCAATTGGCAACTATCGTTGATATAAAAATGTTATTTTCTCTTCTAATATTACCTTATTATTTAATTAAAAGAATCTAAAATGATTATTAATTAATTAGGTCCAACCTTCTCTAAAGTCAACCCCAATCCCTCCATGTCATAAATTAAAAAAAAAAATACACTCCCTCATTGTTATTAAAAATTTTTTGAAAAAAGAAGTCTGTTGTTATAGTTTTAATATCCCAAATCACGTAGCGAAATAATAAACTAGATCCAATTATGCAATTGCAAAATATGCTGTCCAGAAGAGAAAGAAAATTGGACACACAGAACTTATGTGGTTCGAGGGGGTTTATATAGGCTTCCATAAGCTATCAAATTATATTCCCTTCCGAGGTGGGATAGGAACGCCACAACAAATCTACACCTTGGCGTGAACTGTCCCAAAACGTCAAGATGAAAATCTTCAGCCGTCTTCTCCAAATGTTTAAATAGTTATGAAATTGCGAACACCAACCAAATCCAAGCAATGCTTGAATTTGTTCAACGGAAGACAATTAGTCATCATATCAGCTGGATTATCATTGGTGCTAATCTTGCTCACAACAATATCATCACGAGCAATGATTTCACGTACAAAATGGTATCGAATATCAATGTGCTTCTTCCTCTCATGAAACATCTGATCTTTCGTAAGGAAGATAGCACTTTAACTGTCACAAAAGATTGTAGTAATTTGTAAATCTTCACTAAGTTCACCAAACAAACCTTCAACCATATAGCTTCTTTACCAACCTCTGTAATAGCCATATACTCGGCCTCAATTGTAGACAATGCAACTGGAGTCTGCAACGTGGCTTTCCAACTGATAGCACAACCACAAACTATAAACACATATCTTCTAAGAGATCTTCTTCTATCAAGATCCCAAGCAAAATCAGAATCCACATAACTAATAATGTCGTCTGTGCTTTTCCCAAATGCAAACAAACATCAGTAGTACCTTGCAAATATCTAAAAATCCACTGAACTGCTTTCCAATATTCTTTACCAGGGTTTCTCAAATATCTACTGACGACACTAACTGCGTAGGATAAATTAGGACGTGTGCAAACCATAGCATACATGAGAGACCCAACTGCACTTACATAAGGAACTTGAGACATATAATCAATCTCAACATCTGATGGAGACAAAGCAGATTTAGTCTGAAATGTGATACTAAAGGAATACTAATAGGCTTTGGTTTATGTCTACTAAATTTGGACAAAACCTTTTCAATATACCCCTCTGCCTCAAGTACAATTTACTTGTCTTTCTATCTCTAATAATTTTCATACCCAATATCTTATTTGCTGCTCCCAAATCTTTCATATCAAACTCCTCTCTGAGATCTGTTTTGACTTCTCTGATTTCTCTTATATTTTTCGCGACTATTAACATATCATCAACATTTAAGAGAAGATACACAAATGTCTCATCATGATTCTTCTTGAAATACACACAACTATCATAACTGCTTCTTTTAAAATCATGAGTAGTCATAAAAGAATCAAATTTCTTATATCACTGCCTTGGTGACTGTTTCAGGCCATAAAGAGATTTCTTCAACATAAATAGTCTTCCTTACCTGAAACTACAAAACCCTCTGTTTGATGCATATAAATATCTTCCTCACGTTCTCCATGTAAAAATGCAGTTTTCCATCTAAGTACTCAAGTTCGAGATCATGAACAACTACAATACCAAATAGCGTACAAATTGAGCTATGTTTCCCAATTGGAGAAAATACATCAGTATAATCAACACTAGGGATTTGATTGTAGCCTTTAGCAACTAATCTTGCTTTATATCTGCTTTCCTCAACTCCAGGGATACCTTCCTTTCGTTTAAATACCCATTTACAACGGACATCTTTCTTACCCTTGGGAAGTTTCACAAGATCCCATGTGTCATTCTTCTTAAGAGATTCTATTTCTTCGTGCATTGCAATCATCCACTTACCAGAATCGTTATAATAATACCAATCAAAGTCTAATTCATTCACTCTGCTACTCCATTTTGCTGTGAAGTATGATGAATTGTAAAATGTAAAACAATTCCCTCTGATTTACAAAAACCATTAAACTCTTTATAACATAATTCTAAGTCATTATCTATACAAATGCATTTTACCTATCTTCCTGTTTTTTTTTTCAATCATGATCTTCCAATCTTTAAATGTAGGCAACACATCACTCTTTTGCTTCAAGAAAAATACTCAAACTTTCCTGAAGAATTCATCAATAATGCTCAACATATAATATGCACCACATTTAGAAGGCACTTTAGCTGGTCTCAGAGATTCGTATATAATCAAGTGTTCCCTTAGTATTATGAATATACCTTTCGTGAATTTGACTTGTTTTTGTTTCCCAAACATACAGTGCTCACAAAATTCTATTTTACTAATTTCCTGTCCATCTAGAAGTCCCCTTTTGCTCAACTCGATCATCTCATTTTCACTCATATGCCCAACGCGCATAGCCAAAGTCGAGTAATATCGTCATTTGATAAATAAGGTGTAGAAACTGCTACATCACTCACTCACCTTTGCTATCCTTCAAAGCTCTAACTTCACCAGTGTACTTGTACCTTTTGGAATCAAGAGTACTCAAAGAAATTAAATTTCTCTTCAAATCTTGAATGTGTCTCACATGAACAAGTGTCCTAACAACACTAGCAAACATCTTAGTTCTGACTGTTACAATACCAACTATCTTACAAGATGCATTATTTCCCATCAAAACTACGTCTGTAGATACTGAATCACATGTCGAAAACCAATCCCTATTAGGACACATATGAAATTATCATTCTGCTTGTTTTTCCTTATCTGCAGCAACTCTTTTATTTTTATTATGTAACTTGTAGCATTTTGATTTAACATGACCTTTCTTCTTGCAATAATTGCATATCTTGTCCTTATTCTTGGATTTTGACCGAAATCTCTGATTGCATTTGTTTTCTTTTTTAAGGATCTCACATTGATAAAAGAAGGGACCTTATATGAGTTTATAATAGACATGGGCTACTCCTTTCATAGACAATTGGTTTTGAGATGGAACCCCATGAATATTGATATGGTATCAGAGCCCAAAAGCTCAAACGAGCATCCGGTCCAAAAAATGGGATCCGGCCAAGATCGATGAGCCAAAAGAGCCACGATCTTGAAGGGGCATGTTAAGGATCCCACATTGATAAAAGAAGGGACCTTACATGAGTTTATAATAGACATGTGCTACTTCTCTTATAGCCAATTGGTTTTGAGATGGAACCCCATGAATATTGATATTCTTTTCCTCTGATACACCCGTAATATGTTTTAGTTTCTCCTTGGAGACTAAATAATCATATACTTCATTCAAAGTGAGAATATTGCGACTATATGATATTGTATCGTTAAATTTCGCATGCAAGGGAGGTAAAAAACACAATAAAATCAATGTCAAATCTTCCTCATCATAACTAAAATCCATAGACCTCTAAATCAAAGACAATTTCTTTAAAGGCAACCAAATAATCATCTAACGAGAAAACAATCGTTACTTCAAATGTAATTTAGTGGTTAAATTAGAGTAAGCGCCTTTCAATCCTTTTATGTCTTTACCTCTTGCGTCGAAGATGCAAGCATCTTATTATATCCCAATAATGCTTCTTCTAAGTTCTCTTTCACAAGTACAACCCCCATTTTAGCTTGCCATAATAAAAATCTAGTATTGCGATTTAAAAGTGGAACCTCATGCTTCACAGTTGTCATTACAAAATATTACAAACAAACCAATCAACTGAAACCTCAACTTCAATAAAACAATTTACTAAACCACAATTCTGATACCACTTATTATAATTTTAATATCCCAAATCACAAATTCTATACACAACGATTTGGACACAAATTCTAGATCTGATTATAGCAATTGCAAAATATGCTATGAAGAAGTGAAAAAAAATTGTACACAGAGAACTTACGTGGTTCGGACTATGCCTACATCCATGGGCGAAGACGGCGAGAATATTTTCCACTAGTGTTCAAGACGAGATTACAAAAGAGCACTGTGATGCCCGACTAGAGAGGAGGGGTACTTTGGGAAATTAACAGTCCTGTGTAATTTCTCCTTTCACATAAAATATTCACACACAACCATAATATGCAAATAAGGAAGAAAACTGTAAAGAACAAGAAAACAACACAGCAAAATTATACTGGTTCACCACTAAGGGCTACGTTCAGTCTTCCACTCAAATGTGGGTAATTCACTAATAATTGTTAAAAGAATTTGATACAAAACTC